AAAACGGCATGGGCCGATATGTGGTATGTCGATCTGATACAAGGACCTGGAATCGCAGAGGGCACAGGTTAGATTTTCTGACTAATATTAAAATATTGTATACCTCGCGAAGTACGCACCTGGATCGGGATAGACCTGGAAGTACAGACGCAGTGGTCTGCATACGGTGAGGAAGAGAAGGAGCAACGTTATATAGGTGACGCATAGTATGGCCCACATGACGCGAATCCATATGTATGGCCACGGAAGCACCCCTAGAAGTCGATTGATGAAGCAGAGAACGACGGCCTTCTGGCACCAAATACTCGACGGTCTCAGTATTATTCATCATGTGTGCCACGCATGTCCGCGTGTTCGGATGCTTACTTACTAGGTGAAGTAAATGATCGCACCAGCATAAGTGACTTTGCTGCTCATCTGGGAACGCTTAATATCGGCGCGGCTTGGTACTTCGCCCGTCATATATGTGACAGCAACATTACCAAGCGTCCCGAAAACAAGAGTGATATTCATGATATAGACCAAAAGAAGGCAGCAGAAAAGGGTTATGTAGTCGCTGATGACGAAGGACTGTCGTCGATAGCGGCGCATATAGAGCCGGAGGCCCATGATGCTGATTGCCAGCGTCGCAAGCAGGTATCCCACGATGATGGCGGCATCGCCCCCAGAATTGCTCATTGTGAAACTTTACGGGACAAGCCTAGAGTAATCAACGGGGAAACGGGTACTGGACAGGGGGTTTATATTCAGGTGATGGTCCGGGAGACCTCGAGCATCCCAGTCTGGCGGAGACAAAGAAAGTTTAATTTGGAGCTGCCTCGGAGTCCCAGCCGGACCATAGTTGACAGCTCCGATTCCAAATATATTGCAGATGGTAGCTTGATATTCCTGGAAGTTCTCGAGAGAAAGTGTCGGTAGAATCTAAGGTGTTGGGCTTGACCTAGATTTAACAGTGGGTCTTGGAAGACTATCGGGGACCAGCGCATCCTCGTCGATGAAGATCCGCTTCTCGGGGACTCTTGGTAGGCTCGGTTGTGTCACCCTTGATTGTGCCATGGGACGATTAGATTCCAGCCTGGCCATGATTTCTGGGAAGCTCAATCTCAGAAAGGGAAAGGAGTGACCCAGCATTTCCCTTTAACAACCCCCCCTCCTCCCCCCAGGCACGGGAGGGATCAACCTTATCCGAGGCCCATGCTCCGACCCAAACATCAACGAGGGCGTCCAAGCGCTCAATAAACTCTTCGTATCACATCAGCCAAGACAATTCAGACAAAGAAACTTGAGTAGCCCAGCAGTTCGAGGGTAGCCACGGGCTATAATACCTTGTCTCCAGCCAATGCATAATGCTACCCGACCATTAGTTCGTTCCAGATAATAGGCCCCTCAGCACCGCATGCATCCACCTATGCCTGCAACAGAGGGCTAAGGAGTCCAGACCCGGCTGTGTAGTCTCGTAAACGGCCAACCCCGATCTCCAGTCTCCTCCGCGGGCTTCCGACTTCGTTCAACAGCGGTGTTTGGGTCGATGAGCTAAGACGCTGTAGGCATTGGAAACGTTTGACGCTCGGGTCAATGTGATGCCCCCTCTTTTCCTGCAGACCAGGTGATTAGGAATCACATACAGGGAAGCTGGATGGTCAAATATTCACGTAAATTTCTTCGGCGATGGCAAAGCTGTGAAGTGCCGAGTCAGGGGGTGGACAGCGGCAGCCACTACTTTGGGTAAATTGATGCGTTAGTCTACTTAGACTTGGGGTTGTTTCTATCACTTTTTCCTCGGAAAGACCGCTCTTCGAGTCAGTCACATCACCAGTGGACGAACGAAAGTACCACCCAAAACCTCCATCTTCAGGGGTAGCCACTTTCTCCCTCTTTCAGGTCTGCGCTTTGCATGGCAGCATATTAGCTCTTTCTCTTCATCAATTTGGATTTCACCACAGTGTGGAACGAGATAGTATACTGTTGTTCCAAACAGTGCAAGAACGCCGCCCGTAAATTTGTCTTTATGGCTTGTTGGGGTTCCGTGTAGCTGGGTAGATGGATACTGGGAGAGCCAGCTCCTTATAATTCACTGCCGCGTCCCAAGAGTCAGCAAGCCGGTTGGTCACAAGCTTTGAACTTCCTTTATGCGCTGGAGCATGTCCTGCCACTGTAGTGGCCAAGGAAAGCCTTCTGAGTAATCCACCACTGTCACTTCCCCCCGAAAGCACTGACTACAACTGAATGTATAATTTCAAATGTGTTGCCAACGTTCATCGCTATTGCTCCACAACAACTGAGACACGTCAGACTACTAAAGCTTAGCATGCGATACTAATTATCGCAGTGGTAGAATGCAGATTGTTCTACTCTGGACTGTATGCGCCCGTGCAACGCTCGAACATGACAGCTCATGCAGCCGATTCTTAAATTCCCTATCCGACCGCGAGCGTGAAGATGGCATGTAAGAAATATAACAATCCATAGCCTCCCCTTCCCCCTCCACGCTCGAGCATTCTCATATCGGCTAAGATCCCACGGCACTAGTAGGTGGCCGTTCATTGGTCTCGGATCCGAGCCCTCGGGTGGAGGTGTGTATCCGGACCGCGTGTGGATGCAAAAAACACACAATCGACCTTGTCTGACTGCATGGATTGAGCGTGGGGCGGCACTCTCGCCCACTAGGAAAATTCAGCCAGTGAGGCCTACGAGGGTGGAACCATGGAGTGACCCAAACCTTGGAAAGTTGGAATCCGCGCGAGGACCTTGGGAGACAGCTTAACCCGGGCTGCATTTCACGCATTTTGTTCGCCGGCTTGATTGGCCTGCAGATAAGCGACATCTCCATCAGCCCTATAGGGCGCTCGTCATTCCGGCTCACGAGGTGATGCTGCTCAGCCCTACCAATTTTTTTTGCGAATGATATCACCAGGAATGTCATCAAATGGCTCTTTCGAGATGCAGAGCTTCTACGCGATGGTCCATTGAAAACACATGAACTGCTGAGATGATTGAGGATGTCTGCATCCTGTTAAGAGTCGAGCGAGGCGAATTTGGCTACCCATCCAGTCAGACCCTAGTGAATGGCTATCTCTGTCAGCCTACGCTTGTCGAAATTACTGCGGCCCACAATGGAGGGCACCTGGTTCGCCATCGTCAAGCCAGGTACTCCCCTAGACACCACCATCTCCTTCAGCTACACCCCAAGGTCCTCACTCAGTATGCTATAAGATGAACCGCCCACAGCTGGGTCTTTATAATGCTCTCTGCAGTCAGTCCTCACTTCATTGCTCTCCTCCGACCCCTCTCCCCATCTGGTCGCCATGGCTATTTTCAATGCATCCGAGGTGAACCTCCACACGGCCAGCAAAGAGGACGTGCTGTGCTACTATGCCATCTCTGAAAATGACTACAACGGTCATATGGGGGCCCGCATCTCATCCATCTTTGTTATTCTCTTCGTTTCCACAGCCTTCACCTTCTTCCCCGTCGTGGCGAAGAGCATGCCCCGCTGGAAGATCCCTCACAACGTCTACATCTTCGCCCGCTACTTCGGTACGGGTGTCATCCTAGCCACAGCCTTCATTCATCTGCTTGACCCGGCCTACAAGCGCATCGGACCCAAGACCTGCGTTGGCGTCTCCGGAAACTGGTCCCTATACTCCTGGTGTGCCGCTATTGTGCTCAGCTCCATCACTCTTATCTTCCTTCTAGATCTCGCCGCCGAGGTCTACGTCGAGAACAAGTATGGCATGCACCGAGAGGAGAACGCCACGGACGCCTTTATTTCCGGTGATCCGACCAGCGCGCATATCCACTTCAACCCCGAAGATGGTCGCATGTCCGAGGAAAAGACCTCCCCCACGGCAACCTCCGCAGAAACCTCGTCCGAGCAAGGCGAACGTTCCTTCAGACAACAGATTGCCGGTTTCTTGATCCTCGAGTTTGGTATCATCTTCCACTCGGTCATCATCGGCCTCAACCTTGGCGTGACCGGTTCTGAATTCTCGACCCTCTACCCCGTGCTGGTCTTCCACCAGTCGTTCGAGGGTCTGGGTATCGGTGCCCGACTTTCCGCCATTCCCTTTGGACATCGCAAGTGGCTCCCCTACCTGCTGTGTCTGGCGTATGGCCTGACCACACCGATCTCGATTGCGATCGGCCTGGGCCTGCGCACTGCTTACAACCCGGGCTCGAAGACATCCTTGATCGTGCAGGGAGTGTTCAATGCTGTCTCAGCAGGTGTGCTGATCTACAGTGCTCTGGTGGAACTGCTGGCACGCGACTTTATTTTCGACCCGTGTCGTACTCGTCGTCGCTCCAAGCTGTTGTACATGGTGTTCTGTACGTTGTTGGGGGCGGGCATCATGGCCCTGATCGGAAAGTGGGCGTAATCGCCTCGAAGTATGTATGACAGTCAATTCTGAAAAGATACCCTCGACTCTATTTCTAGTCACTGCATAATGGATACTTTCGTGCACTTCTCTTTATCTATCCGTTTGTTGGTGTAGTATGCCTCTCTCTTTCTGCACATAGGATAAGACATCTGCCGGTCGCTCCAGCCAATGCTGTCGAGGTTCGACTCTTCAGATGGCCTCCAACAAGTATGCCCCAGTAACTTCTTAACCAGCCGACTGTGTAACCTTCCAAAGGTCTTTACTGGGCTGGTCTCCATCTCTGGATATACCCAGCCACATATTCACGTACGCCACACTAGCAACGCCATGCATATTGCCCCATTCGAAACTCGGCCATATTCCGAGGCGACTATTCAGTGCCTGAGGCAGTGATAAATCATGACGCCTCCATCCGCCAATCCGTTCCATGCTTCACTATTACTGCATCGGGTATGGCTTCCTACGGGGAAGAGACATGAGAAGAGAACAATCATATTTCGGTATGATATCCAAGATGACTGACTTCTACGGTTTTCTCACCCATACTATGCCATGGGCTGCTCTGCCTTCAGCCCTAACGTTTCTTCCTTTGACCTACCGCGGATGGTCAACAACCCCATATCACGTGGCGCAGAGGATCGTTGACTTGCCCATCCAAGAAGCCTCTGAGCTAATGGAGTTAGACTCTCCACGATGGGACGCGGGAGGGTCATGTTACTCTCTAGCGGAGTGAACTCGGTTTCTGTAATATTGGCGCCTCCGCAATGCACCATGCCATCGATAAGCACCAGAGCATCTCCAAGGTTCATCACGGCACGAACAGCCTGATCCATCGTGGCACCATCAATGGATTGCCACTTATGGCTGCCCAGAATGATGTGGGTAGCACCATTTTCGCTCGTGAAAGGTGTCAGGGCGACAATAAGAAATGTTTGAAGTGGGTGGTGCGTCGTGCTTCAGATAGTCAACGATAAAATGGCTGAAGCTCATGTCTCTATGGAAAGATAGAGCTAGTTGAGTTGGTGCATATTCCATTATCGCACCCAGTAGAAGCCAGTAATCACCATATACTCTGAACGCATCCTCGGATACTCTATCCAGAGCCTCGTTGTTCAAGACGTCGTTTCGGAAGGTGGGTGAGAATCCACTCAAAGCATTGAAAAATTGGGACGTTGTGAATATCCCATGATTAGGATGATCTTTCTTCGAGGCACTCGAAAATGGTTCAATTGCGATATGTATGGACCCAAGAACAGTAATGCCAGAGTTAACCGCTTGTCTGACCGCTAAAAGCGGCAGAACCGCAGCGACCTCGCGAAGAAAAGTGCGGATATAGGCGGATATAAACGGATATATCTTTCAACAACCCCGAAATGACCAGTCAGCATTCTGTATGTTTTTTGACCGCCTTGGGGGAGGGGTGGCAGAATCTGATGTCTCGTGTGGGAGTGCATGTAGGCCATTGGGGCCACTGCTATTGTACTTGAAGGGTTAATAATCTAACGTTACCTCCCTCGTATGATACTTAGCCACATTATGAAACTATATCATGTTTTCAGCGAGTATTAATCGCTTACTATTCTACTCTACGATTCATAGTCGCAGTTACCTACCCATCTACGGTTCCCCTGTGCCAGTACATAGGTTAGAAGAATTCCAAGCCTCTTGCAATTGTCCTAATTACGCTTTCAGTCAGATAACAGTATTTCAAGAGGCCAAGATATGCATCCGTAACAGCATTCAATTATTTAATAACTCAGGGTATACAAGGAGCGACGCATAAACCATGGTAAAGCAACAAGCAACCGACAAGTTCATTATTATGTAGCAACTGCAGTGCTACCACAAGTATCATTTGATCCTTCCCACATTAAGATCAATAATGACCAAGGTATTTTCCAACAACCAGTTCGATTCTTCTACTGGTCGATCCTAAACCCAAGCCGCAGCAACCATAGCAGCGGCCGCAACAGGCGCCGCCGTAATCATAGCCGCGACAGGAGCCCCGACACCAGCAGCAGCATCAGGGGTCTTTGTAGCGGCGGGCTCCGTGAGCGACTTGACACCACCAGTGACAACAAGATAATAGAATCTGCTAGTCGGGTTCTCATAGGTAGACTTGGTCGACGTCGACGAAGCGTACGTCGCGCCATTGTCACTTCCACTCAACCCCGCGCTCATGGTGCAGCTCGCCGATTCAGTCCATGACTTCAATGAGCATTCGTATGACAGAGTCACAGTGACATCGAAGCTGGTGGTCTTGTCTGACGTCGAAGCAGTGTATACTTGGCTCACACTGACGGTTTCCGGGCCCTGGATGATCGTGTATGCGTCCTTCATGTCGCAGTCTGTCTTGGGGGCGTCTTTCAGACAGCTCATTTTGTAGGTGGTTTTCACAGCATTGATACCTGCGACGCTGGCGCCGGTGCTGGTCCAGCCGCCGTATTCAGGGAGGTCCATCGACCAATAGGGCCTGAAGTAGCCCATTGTTGTGGTGCTGTCGTCGTCGGCGTGAGCACCACCAAGGAGGGTAAGGGCGGCGGCGAGGAGGTAGGAGGTGCGCATGGTGGTGGCTGCGATGATCTTAATCTATCTCTGGGGTTCTGAGATTTGGATGAGGTTTGCTGTTTGATAGTATTCCGTAGAGAGGAATGAATGATGAATAGGGTGTAGTATCAGGGGCAAAGGATGGAGAGGGGCGCTCTTATTCCCCTTTCTATAGCCTTGGCTGCAGAGCCAAGCTCATCTCATTTTCAGGTCATGCTGACGGCCCCAACATTGGTAGCTTTGGGAAATGACTCAAGCGAGTAGACAGTCGAATGGGCATCAAAAAGATTCTGTAGAGCCGCCTTGTTCGGACCCCTGGTCCGCTATTACGAGGACTCCGGGGCCGCTATGACTGTCATGAGATGTGCTGATTGGGTATGTCTCACTTTGTAGCATTCGGATGTAATTTAGCGCTGGAAATGAGGGTGCTTAGCGCCAGGCTAAGGACCCTTAGGCCCATGTAATTCTTCGGTTCGAGACCAAAGTTCGTTATGGCTCGTGGCAATCACCAGTATTTTTTATGCCTTTCGATCAATGGGGATCGTTATCATATAGGTGGATAAATACTGGAACGTCGATGTCGTGGAAGGTCTATACCCACGGGTCAGGGAGTTGGGCTTCAGGTGCGGCTAGCCGGATCAGTCACGGAGGTCAGAATCAATGCAACTGACGACGGTTGGACCTCGGCGCAATTTGTCTGTCAGAACTAGTCGCTGCATGGGAAATTGCATGTTTCCTAAATGGGTGCAGCAATTGTTCATGAGAGTTTGTTGGAGTTTAGCGCTATACATTCTGGTTCGTCTAATGCCCTCTGGTCTGCTCTGCCACCACCAGATGACTGCCTGCTTCACCAGTGATTAGCCGAGCGACGTCCGAGTCACTAGTACTTGTAGTCTCACTCTTTCAGCAAAGCATTGATCCCCTTCAAAATGGCGCATACGTGGTGAGAAGGCAGTAAAATGGTTTGATACTGCTAGGCCGTAGCGGACGACCCGTGGGGCGAGCATCACCGTTCACAAACAGGAGCAACAGTGCTAAGATCAATTCTCCGTGGACGATCCAAGCCCTTTGATGGACAGACATGATAACGGCCCGGTCGGATGTCTCGGCTAGAGCAGGGCGCTGTGCATCAAGTGCCAAGCTGCCCTCGGCGCCAGTCAATCCACAGCTGCGCCCCACGTCAGTAAGAGGAGGTTCCGGCGAAGGTGGAAGCTAGCCCGAGGTAACATTCATTCTCTGCAGTAATTGGTAACTATCCTAAGTTGTCGTTCACTGGAGGAGCATGGCTGTCACTTTGAATTGTTGATGAAATTTCAGCCCCCAACTAATACCAGAGTGGTATATAGAACTAGTATATATGTGTCAGTGAAGTTACGGATTAAACCGACATTTGTGGGTTTGTATTGTCTGCGACAACAACTTACTATTGAAGGGGGGCCACCTATACTGTTAGAACCTTCTAACTGTACGATGTTCCTCTGATGAAGTGCTATTGATAAGCTTTTTGGTCAACGGGATCGACAACAAATCCGCAACCACTGCGATCTTGGCAGGTGTTCCTTTGCCTTGGCCTTTCACTGTGTGGGCCAATGCATCAAATGAACCATAACGTTCCTTGGTAGAGACCACCAGGTATTGTAAATATTCTGTACAAAGTAGTATGGAAGAGAAAAGGTAGAATGAAATAAGAGCATATTGCGAAATATTATTGTGACATTGGTTTATGAAGACCAGGACGCGGACCTTCTATCACTTCAGTCTCCAGGCTAAAAACATGGTATAGTCATGATGCGAGCAATATTAACAGTACATGGACGTTAAGGGTCGTAGTATAGAAGATGGTCTATCCGGGTGATTATCTCATCTAGCAGCAGCATTCGCAGCACTCGAAGCAACAAAGACCGGCGCACCTATTATCGTATGGTTAGTGCCGATTATTGGGATGTTAGAGGATAGGAAGATAAACATACACGCCACAGCAAACATCCTCGCCCTCACCACCACCACGCAAGCCCATCTGCATCGTCTCTTGCTGGCCCTAGAGGTATATTAGATTTGTTTTTGTGATGCAAGGGGGATTGAATATGGGTGGGACGCACGGGTTGACCGGTGACGACCTGCTCGGTAACGGGAGCTTCCGGGGCGGAAGGCTGCTGCATGGTCATGGTGTTGGGGTTCCAGGTGGGCTGCTGGGTAGCAGGCTCCTTGTTGGAAGACTTGAACCAGTCGAACATATTGGCGGTGGCTGTTGTGGGGGTTTGTTTGGTTTTTTGCTCTTTTGGCAATGGGAGAGTTGGGAGATGGGAGAAGCTGACTTGAGCCGGAATCAGACGGGTAGATAAGGAGTTATCCGAGGGAAGGCGAAAGGGTATCTGAAATGCTTAAGAATGAAAAGAAGAGGAATAGGTACCGGGCGGGGGCAGTCAGTAGTATTTATCCGTTGGCCATTTTGCAATCTGGGGAGTCGGGGGGCCCAGCGGTCAGCCCTATTAGCATCCAACGAGAAGATAGGCGAGGTGATGACCTCACCGTTAGGCGCCGATAGATCGTGTCGACCGCTGGTGGGTTAGAAAGGATTGGGCGGGCGAAGCTGAGGAGAGACAGACAGTCAGTTGACCATTCCCAGTTGGTGGTTGCTATTCTTGCAGCGGTTGCGGGTGGAGGTGACATCACTGGCTCAGCCCTGCCGAGAAGGAAGGTGGTGGTGGATGATCGGTGGCTCAGGGACCAGCCATTCAAATGATTCGATACATGGGTTGATTAATGGAATAATAATAATTATTGTGATGAGGTGGAACACATCATAGCCACACTCCCAATCAGAGAGCATCCACTGGCGGTCAACTAAGCTTTAGGACAAGCTTCGCGACAAGGCTTGTCCAATGATAGGATCCAGAACAAGCCAGTTGTGGTTCTCCGTAATCTCACTCGACTCGAAGGAGTAAAAGCACTTGAGTAGTCCACTCATTAGTATTATTAGTACGTACTCCGTAGAAATTGTAAAGGATTTCTGTAGTAGCCGGTCATTTCCGCCCGTGGATCATCTTTGGGAATTTACCCTACTCGGTTTTGCCCCCTTCCCCGGCGTATCGCCAGCCCTGCAGCGACATACGTATTTTCCACGCCAATCAGGATCTTGAGGGATGATCATCGCAGAAACGAAGTAGTGGTTTTGGCTATTTATTTTCAGCGGAGGAAGAAAGCAAGATGTGGAGGACCGGTTTTGAGGGGAACCATGACGCACGGAAGGGAAGGGAAGGGAAGGGATTCATTGGGGCCAGTGGATGATGCAGTCTCTGCTAGTCCAGGCAACAGCCCTTCCCCCTGCTTCCTTTGAGTAACAACAACTGTGCATTCAGTTTTCTATTACTAATCACCATATGAGACAGCTCGGAAATCCGAAGGCTCTTCTTCCACTACTACTACCACCATTTTACTAGGTACTCTCTTTCTCCTTAGAAGTGACGGTCGCCAAGGCAGACTTCCAATAGTTTGCTGCAGACCTCAGGTTTTCCGGACTAACTAGTAGCTAGTAACCCAAACCCCGCTTTCAATTCATCTACTGGAGACATGTCGGTATCACACCCTAATATAAGACCATAGACTATCATATGGAGCAAATAATGTGCATTAATCAGCTTGTCTCAGGTTATTTACATCATTCAATAAAAACTCTCGCCGTGCATCTGCGACCGGCTCAGCCCCCACGCAGGATTACCATCATCCCTACTTAAATGCTATGTAGGGTAACGGGACTACGCCTCACTCAGCTGGTCTGGCTGCAGCAGTCGTTGCTTCTCCGATAAGAACACGCCTTGCTTCCTTTGGCAACGCTTCCGACATCTCCGACCCTGCTGCATACTGACACACGTGCATGCCACAACCTTCCAGAGAAGCAACCCCATCGTGCACACTACCAATCCAGCAACGGCCCCCAAAAGTCCCGGAACGATGGCAGGCACCACGAGTCGCCAGAAGTCCCGGCGGTAATCCTTGTTACGCAAAGCCGTCGGTCGCAGAGATTTGTCCACTCCATACATCCGGAACGGAGAGTCGGGCGCAGCTTTGTCGGAGTCCGTCGTGGGGAGTTGTGGACTGTTCTCTTTATCCTCCTCGTGTGCAGTGGGTCGTTCCTTGAGGAACGGTCTGCGCTCCTCGACTCCCTCGTGGGTTGCTGGTCGCTCCTTGGGATGGTGGTGGTGATTATTGTGCTCGTGGTCGTCACTCTCCTGCGACTTGGGTCCTTTATGGGCGCCGTGTCCTTTCTTCTCGCGCCAGGTACGGTACTTTTCCATAATCAAGTTCCAGTACTTGGCGTGCCAGACACAATTTCCATCGCCGTGCGCGTCATGGTAGTGGGGAAGTGGCTCGACGCTGATCTGAGTAATGTACAATTCGTCCGACTGCTGCGACGACAATCGAACACTGACAGTGTCTGTCGTGGCAGGACGGCCGGAAAGGTCGAAGAACTTGAGTTGCACAACGTAGATGTCTTGCACCAGGGACCCATCCGGACGAGGGGGCATATATTCGATGTCCATGGCGTACTGCAGGAGCAGATGCTCTGCATTCTGACCGGACGCGTCCTGGTATCGGGTTGCCGGCAAATGCATGGGGAATGAACTAGGAAAGACGGTAACATCGTTGACAAATAGAGCATTGCTCTCCGTGCGGAGTTTCATCGCCTACATGGCAAGGTTAGTTGATGCTTGGACCCTTTCCGACCGTCGTTAGTACGGGCGCACGTACCAGATATGCTTTAGAGGCATCCTTGGCCTCATCCTCCTTTAATCCTGGGATCGTCGCACAGGGAATGTGAATCTCATGGCCAGTCACGACGGGGATCGGGGCGTGCGAGTCCTTAAGAGCCGTCTGGCGCACGGAAGCATCACCAGGATGACTGGCAACTGGACTGGCAGCACAGCTGGCCAGCCAGGCGCCCGCGAGGCACAGGAACTTGGTACGCATGATGACTGATGCGCAGGAAGAAATAAAGAAAATATAGATGAATCTGTAAAGAGTGACGGTTTGCCAAGATAGCAGTCGGTCAAATGGAAAGATTCATGAGGAGAACGGAACAGAACAGGAGAGACTAAATGACTAGGGGGGGGATGGCGGGGGCATCTGCAGATATGGCGTGTAGATAAGTATGAATATCACGAGCACTGCAGTCGTACTAGTAGTAGGAAGAAGATAGCATGTATGATGGCACGGGAACCTAATAGGCAGCCAGGTTTCAGTCGATCCCGTTCAAAGAGAGGGAATCCGCGGAGACCGATGCAGCAGTACACGCGCCCTATAAGGCTGACCACGCAATCCCGCCCGTCATCTTCCCTCCACCCCCCACCACCACCAGGCAGACTCAGACTCAAGGATGGACATGTTTTCTATTTTTTTTCCCATGGTATCTGAGACTTTTCTTTTCCCCTTTGCGGAACCTTATTTCATGGGTGCCTACGCTGAACCATTGCTTGACCCGAGCTTGGCTCGGAAGCTTCCCACAAATATCCAGCAATGAGTGTCCACTCGTCAATGGCTGGCCCCCTTTTTCATTCGGCTTCTAGCCCGTGTCTTAACTTGTCTACGCCACACAAGCTTTTTCCTACCAGACCCTCTCTGTTGGCTGTAGCGCCAAGAACACTCTGCTTAATCGAGGTCAAGGTAGCGAGCAGTTTCTCCCCACTTGATTGGTGGGCAATGGGACTCACTGCCTTTCACACCGTGTTGCTTCTTTGGGTTGGCCAACGTCAGCTTCCTCCGAGGGTAAACGCTGCGGGGCAAATCCTATTTACTAGAACTAATACGAGCAGGCAGACAGGATGATCGGCATCGTCTACGGTTATTTTGTGCTTAACTTGTGTGGGTGGGTGTGTGGGTATGCGTGTGCTTCTTGATGATCCCCAGAATGCAATGCAATTCTTGAAACTCTTCATCTCGGCTATATATATTCTCATTATACCTGGTGTTTCATCCTGACACGTGTTTACCCTCATATTTGAAGAGCAGACAACATACATGACAGAAAAATCCAAGGTTCAGATCCTGCGACGATCACTGCCCGAAAGGCATGTCAGACCACACGATCAGGGTCCTCGCGAACTTTGACACGATCTTGGGACGATCAGCACCCTGTCATTTATAAAGAGCTCATTCATAAAGATTTCTCTGCAGCCCAAATCTCTACATGGTGTTTTGCTGCAAGGGAGCTTCTTTCTTACATGACAGGTCTTCTTCCGCGCTCGATTTTCATGTTGTACCAAGAACTCTGCAATTGTCATTCTTTGTTTCTTCTATTTGTCATGTAGTACCTATGGCGTTCCTGCATATTCCTAATACTGCCTAGCCTTCAATCAGTTTGGTCGCGTATCGCTAACTTTCGTCTCCTCTTGGCTAGGAAGTCCCTCTGACACATTGACAGGCTTATGTCTGTCAAGATTGGGAGGTTACAAACTCTATTAGACGGCGGCAATTCCGTGTCTCAGATGCATCGCAGGGGCCGTCCCGCGGTGGCAGTGCCAGCCACCAGGATTGTGTCCGCCTACAGTAGAGAGTTGTGGGGGTTGTATGTGAACCTAGGCGCAAAGTTTCACCCGTCTGGTCGGTACCAACTAAAGTGATAATGTGATACGGATTTGGCACTACGCTACCATATTCGGCCCGTGTCCTTCAGGAGAAAAAATTACCATGAATGAATTTCTATCCATGCCATGCCCGGTCCAATTCTCGGGGCTGAAGTTACCTACATTATCTATGTCTACATAATCATCATACCATACCAACCCAATCATCAAGTTTTGAACCCGCCTGTGAGTTTAACTGACCGACAGGCATGTTGTAGCCTTCCGCTATAACAAAGTATGTCTGTGACTCATCTTCAGCCACCAAAGAATGCTCCTCTACAGTCTCGGAGGCAATCGGACGACAGGAAGGGGGGCTATTTCTCTTGGGTACCACCAGCTACCCACGCCTGCATTATAATACAAGTGTGGCCGCCACCTCAAGGCGCTAGCCGCTCTAAGGTATAGCTCCTGCTGCCAATTGGGAAAATAAAGAGGGATATCGATGGTGTTGCTGCTGAGGCCCCATTCCTCGATACGAACCTGATCCCAGAACACATAACCCTGTCGACGGAGATCACACATAGAATGATGGCCAACTTGCGTAGATACGCCTCCATTCGGGATTGTTGCCGCCATCAACGTATGCCATGCATTAGCTGGGCCCGGATCAGATCCGACATACCCTGTATCTTGCCAATCGATAGTTTGCCCCTCGACTTCGCATGTAAGTGATGGATAAACGTGGAATACATTCTGAGACTCCCAGATAGCCCTGAATATGTCAGGTAGCGAAGACATGAAGGGCTTGCCAAACAATTCGTTGGCGAGTAGGTCATGCTGGCCAGATGTTTGAGCTGTGACGAGGTGTCCAATATACCGCAGGCCGTGGCATAGCTGACTGTGGTCAGATCAATCCACAATGGAATGGGCTCTACGGGTCTGTGTAGAACTCACTAGAGTTCCTACAGGCGATGGATCTGTCATTAGGTAGGCATTGCTGGAATAATACCAGATACCCTCGGTGGTCCAAGTCCTATTCTCTGCGAATGGCCGCAAACCTGTTTAGCAATCAGATTTCGGAGCTTGTGTGACCCGGTCTAGGAAATGAATAAAAGAGACACCCACAGATGGCCACCCTCCGAAAGAGATACTCACTGACTGACAGTATCTGCTCAAGTTCCCACGCGGGAAAGTGGCGGAAATAGTAACCCCATTGGTCACTTATCAGGAAGTCCGGTGAGCACTTGGAATAATTCGCATACGGCTCACGCATCCTAAAAAGATGGCGATGGATCTCGAAACGGTAGAGTGCCCTTGCTACTCTACACTCCTCTGAGGATGTTGGTTGATATAAAGGCATAGGCGGGTGGGTTCTCCCCTGCATTGGGTCGGATATTGCCTGCCTGAGAAAGTGTCTGGTGAAATGTCGAACCCAGCGATATAATTTACTGATTTTAAAAGCAGACTGGGGGTTTAGAGGAAATGATGAAGAGATTTGGCGGGTCCGATGCCGGTAGATTATGGAGTGCACTTCATCTTGCGTCCACACGCCCTCCACAGTGGATGCGTCGAAGGCGAAAACCGCATCTGGTAAAAGCGCCGTAGGAATCTTCTGCGCTAATATCTGCTTTAAAATGTGACTTTCAGCGCCGATGAAGGCAAAGTATAGCGCAGAATGCGTCAATTGGGCCGATTTAAGGGACTCGAGATCTGGAAGATTGCAAAGAATGGCTTGGATGAGCTCCACGGGCAGGGCACATAACGAAGGCTGACTTGTACTATAAACTGGGAGGTCCATCGCGCAAAAGAATATTTCTGTCGTAAGGATATGCTGGGTTATAGTGTTGATAGAGGTTTCACGCTACCACCAGGATCGGCCAGAAAGAAAACCACTACATATCATGGTCAGTCATGAATTAGGGAAGGAAGCACCGGGTCTTCTTCAACCCGTGTTGGGAAGTCGCCACTGGCGGTATACATGCAGATCATATAGAACTATATCAACGCCGAAGGAATTAGCTCCCATTATTGAAGTTAGGTATGGTTCTGTTCGTATGTAGTTTCTCCTTTGCCGCACCTTTCGAGCGCCCCACGCCAAAAACCATCAGAGACTACGAAGTAATCGCTGTCTCTAAATAACGGAAGCCCGAGCCTACCTGAACACTCATATTAATATAACTGGTAGAGGATGGTTTCTCCTGAGCGACACATGGCCGCTACAGTATATGTCAAAGCAACAACAATCTACTAAATTTCCATTCACTACGCACCATAGCCACTCATCTACTACACCTCCAACACTTGAAAGTCAAGCTGGCATTTTCCAGTTGAGCAGTAGTATACATTGACCTAGATGGTATCTAAATGCAGTAACTCAAACACGAATAGTACAATACACACAAGCGCCTTGACTGGGTACTTGGTCTTTCATCAGGATGGCCATCAAGCGTGATTATTGCAAGCATTCCCAACATCTACAAAGCACTCCCCTTCAAGTGAAGAAGAACGAAGTGAATTAGTCCCCCGGCCACAAATTAACTTCAAGATCCTTCCACTCAAATAACACTGAATGCCTATATTAAAAGGCCCCTTCATCTCTTCCTCTCTTCTTTCCTCCCTCTTCCATCAACTCACACCTCTCTCTCTCTCTCTTCCAATCTCCTCATATTCTAAATCACCATCCTCTACCTCAACCACCCCAAGTCATCTCCATCAACAATGGACGACACCAAAACCAATATTAAACGTGGGAGCTTTAAGGACTCCCTCTCCAAAGCCCTGACCAACCGTGCCGCATCGACCAAGTTCCCCTTCGCCATGACTCCCTCCTCCACCTCCGCCGCACCCTCCGATGTTTGGCCAACTTCCAGCTCCCCTTTCAAGAAGAAACGTCCTATACTTTCCCCTACACTTGCAACCCGTGACACGAAGCGCACCACTACCACTACCTCGACCACCACCACCAAGCCTACCATTCCCGCCCACCTCCTCGCCAATCTCAAGGTCCTGGTGGAACAATTCGAATCCGCAATCACTCCCGCCACCGCCGCTGCCGAAGCGGACTCCACCATCTGCACCGAAGACGACCTCCGTGAGTGGAGGCCCTTCGAGCAGAAGTCCGACGGTTGGGGTGGTACTCGCGAGAATCTACCCTGGGTAGACACCGCTCTCAACATCATCAAACAAGGCGAGAAGGTCTATGAGAAGAACCTCAAGGCCTTTCAGGATATCGCTGTTAAGCTAATGGCTCTCGGGGAGCAAGCACAGGACGTTCGGACCGAGATGGACGCAGTGTGTGCGAAGCTTCAGTGTTTCCATGAGGCTTGTCTGGAATTGCAGATTGAGGTGGGCAATATCTCATCTCAGGAAGTGTGCGATATTACTAGGCTGTCGCTCGAGGCGCTTCTTGAGGCCCATGCGGGTGATGTGGAGGGGTGTGCCACTGTGAAGAAGGCATTGGGGAAGAAGGATGATGAATGGAATGGTTGGTAGCGGTGGTTCCCTATGAGAAGGTTTATTGGAACTACGTTCTGCAGCTTTGGGTGGGGTTGATTAGTATGCTTGGAGTTGGAGCTGGAGCTGGCTCTGGCTTTGGCTGGGTAGGCCGATGGGTCTGGGCTTGGATGGTTGGTTGTTCTGCTGACAGCTGGTGATTTTGTGGTTACATTGGCGCTATTGTTTTCTTTCTTCGAATGGGAATAGTATCCGTTGAATCTCAATACTCTGCGCTCACGGTGAACTGGTAGTATGCAATATGGTCATGTCATTCTTTTATCAATCATCTCAGCTATTCTAAATTCCAACATTTTCACTAATAGATAAAAACCGCTCTATTATTATCATTGCATAGAAGGCAAAATAGAACAACACTCAAACAGGTCCATAAACGTACAATCCCATGAAACCACGCGCTGGATAACACGACATAATCATGCAGGATAGGGAGGTAGGTGGATAGGTACATAGCGAAATAGGTCTCGGCGCGCTCTCTTTTCCCAGCGCGATCGCAATTAGCGCCGGGACACACAGCACAGAATACCCGACCGGCCCAAGAACCACAGCGAGCCGATGAAACGGAATAGCGACAGACCGGCCGTGATCCACAGAATGACCTCGAAGTAGTAGGATGTACGGGTGGTTGAGGTGTTCTGGAAGTTCGTTAGATGATGTTATGAGTCATAGCTTTACCAGAGGAAAAGGGATGGAACGTACCGTCAGACACATCTTGTCTACTCCAGTGGCGGTGATCAACAGCGTCACGAGCAGGTTACTAAACACCCACAGACACACGAGCACAGTACGGAAGTTGCGGTACGCATCGTCCAGACTCTTGCCGCCGTCTTCCTCTGGCTCGATCCACGGCGACAACGCCCGCTTCACCGTTGCCTCGAACTGACTGTCGATATCAGCTTGCGGCTTGTCGATTTCCTCGATGAAGTTCTGCTTGTTGTCGTCGTCCTTCTTGGTTTGCGCAGAAGGCAGTGCCTCGGCTTTGTCCGCACCCTTGGTACCCCATGAAACGTCGTGCCAGTTACAGAACGCGTAGACCATCAAGATGTTGATCGAGGTCGTCATACCCAGGAAGTAGGCCCAGGAACTGGTGATAATGTGCCAGGGATCCATATACAGGACACTCGCAATGATGTAGATTCCGTAGGTGGAGACCAAAGCGATCAGGACGATACCACCGCCGCTGGAGCTGAAGAACGAGGCAAGGAATGTGCCAACGCTTTCGTCGAAGTTGAAGTCCATCATACCACCGTTAAAGGCACCCACGACCAGGTAGAACGACAGGATGAGGACGTACAACTGGACGAGGGAGAAGTAAAGGTAGGACAGGATGTAAGGAATCTTGACACCCTTCGGCCGATTACCCAAAGCCATGATGAACTGCAGCGTAAGAACCCAGACATAACCGTATTTGACGAAGTTGTTGACAATGGGCGACGCCTTGTTGCCCCATGGCCAACCTATGTTCTTGTTAGTCGTAGCCGGCGTACCCACCAGATCCATGATGACGGAACTAGTGAGCCAGTAAGAAGCAAGGGAGAACCAGGTCATGATCAGTTGACAGACGTTGTAGAGCATCTGAATGTGCAGGAAGAACATGCGAATGATACTGTGACCACTGCGGTAGATACGACCGAAATGCATGATGGAATACAGGCCAGCGGCAAAAGAACCGTTCAGCCAACGACGTCTTTGACTGATGAATTCGGCCACACCTTCCGGAACATCGGTCTCACCCTTGGACGCCTTGACGTAACTGAGATGCCACTTGAACCCAGCCTTGGCCACCAATTCGAAGCAGAGAATACGATCCTCGGCCAGGAACATGTTCTTCTTGAAGATATTCATGCCGTCAATACCCTTCTTTCCAAGACGCTTTGATAGCGTATGGTCTCCATGGAAGTATTGTTCCAGCGGACGGCCCATGATAGCGCGATATCGATAGGCAGAGAATGCACCAGGCAAGACACTGACATAACCGAATGCACTTTCCAGGGGTTTATCAAGAATATTAGAGATCTTGTACTCGAAGTTCTGCGCAGCGACTAGCGGATTTAGGACCTTGCGCCAGCCCTGTCCCAGCATCGCATGGATCTCACCGCAGGCTCCACCAAGTGTCTTGTCATTGTAGAAAGCCTCCCAGAGAGCAAGCAGAGATTTATGACCGGGTTTGGTACCGGCATCCAGCAGAATGACGACTTCCGGATTCAAGATCCGACTGAAGGCGTTGAACAGCCAGCGGTGGGAGTTGATCTTCTTGCTATTCTTCTGCTTGAGACAGAAGATCATCTGCACCGGGGGGAAGTTGGTCGACTCATTGCCCTGGGGCCGAATCAACTGCTGCGTCGGAGTGACGGACAATTGGGTAGTATATTCAAACTGCGACGGTCAGTACACAATCGGACTCCTTGCGGTGCCGATCACCGATGGTCCTAAGGCGGTCTGCATGACGGCGGCAGCGGAGGAAAGTGGAAAGAAGCAAAACTTACAACGTGGGCGATGGTTTCCCGCCCGTCAACGTCCTTCTTCATGACTCCATCCTGGTAGATACCAATCGTCGCCAACACATCCAGTGTGTTTTTGTCGCATGGCTCAATACCATCGAAAACCAAACAGACTACGATCTTCTGCCAAGCAGGGCCACCCTTGTTCCAGAACTCGGATTTCTTCAAGTTGACAATGTCACGGATGTTCTGCATGACACCGTGAAGGGTACGCGCGGTCAAGACCTTGTCTTCGTTATAGTAAGTGATGGCGATCAGCAACTCAGTATGCCGGTTATAGATAGCCGGCCGGAGATTGTAACCGTTGCGCAGTGTGAACTCGTCGGGATCACAAGTGGCGGCCGTGTCTGCGATGCTTTGGTCAGCCGGACAATTGACCATCTCCGCAAAACCGCATGGCACCTACATCTCATGTGTGTGAATTCTTCGGAGAAGGCCTCCTCCGCATCCCGGTATTGGGGCTGGATGGCGTTCTGAATGGCACTCGGCACCGGGTAGTCAATACTCAGGACGGAACCCTGCACCAGGTTGATCTTTCTCGTTCCGTAACGGCGCAGGGCACCCGCGCGACTCCCTTCACGGGAAGCCTTGTCGCCATTGCTCCGGGCACGGAAGGTGTTTTCGGAAGCGGCTTCGGATTCTTGGTAAGGGGGAGCGGCGAAGACCGCAGGACCGTCGTCGTGCAGAGTGTAGCGACGGATGGAGTCTGTCGACACGGCAGGATCATCGAAGGGCGTGCCGTAGTGACTGGAATTGTTGCGCTCCAGCAGAGACTGTTCCTGCTCGTCGTGCTCATGTTGCTCGGAGTGGTAAGTTTGGAGCTATCACGGTTAGGTAGTGAACGGGTGGCCAGCTGGACAGGACACACTCACACCATGGGGGGGAGACGTGTGGGAGAAGTAGCTGCTTTCGCTTTCCCGCGGCGAATGGGCCGAGTATGGATGTGTCGGCGTACCCATCTTGAAGGTTGAAGATGGGATTGCCGGAAGTTGCGACGGGTGGTCTTCTTGAGGCAAACAGGGAAAGGGTAAAAGTATAACGAGGGTTCTAGGGAGGTTCTGGGGCTGGGCAAAGAAGGATCCCAAAAATAACACTGCAAAATTAAAAAGGGCACAAAAATAAACAGAAGCCCCCCCAAAGGAGGGAAGAAAAAGAGGGCCTAGGGGGAAAAAAATGGGCTGGGGACAACAACGGTACCACGCAACCGTCAATTGGGCTAGGGCGTAGATAAACCAACTGCTAGAGGAGTGGAGCACCCATGGACCATTGGATACGTGCCCAAGAAACTATATATAGGGGGAGGGGACGAAGCAGCTACGGGACAGGGCAAATAAGAGGACGAGATGGCGGGGGATGAAAGTCTAAGCCTTGAAGAGTAGTGGCGATAATTCGACGGAGGATGCGTGTTTACAGTGTGCGATATATCTGGCGGACCGGGGGGGGCCCGATACCAGAATAGTAGCCAGAAGATGCTTGTCCGTCGCAGTGGGAGCAGGATAATTTTCCTTTTTGGCCCGCCAGGAACAATGCAGACCAGCATTATAGCCACGCCGGGCAGTGCACAGGAACTGGAAATGGCCAGCGACGGTCCTGACTTGTCGGTAGCGGGATGTTTAAGATCTCTTGTCGTCAGCAGCCTGGCTCCACCGGGAGTAAAAATCCTTATCCGGGGGACCACCTCCATCAACGGATACCCATGGTCGACGGGATATATTTATACGGGCTCATGACCCTGATTCCCTCGGACTCGACGGAGAATACAGAAAGGGTTCCAACATAGCGCTCTTGGGCAGGAAGAGGCGAAGTGTGTGTGGCCGCGTTGACGGTGGAAAACGATTGCGACGACGAAGACGGAGGAGGGGGCAGACAGGATGATGTGATGGGCGGGCGTTGAAGGTGGGCGTCGAGAAAATTCGGCGGACTGTCATGGTTCCCGGATCGGATCCAGTGGATGACGAAGTCCGGAGCAATCCTATTGGACCCAAGAATGAGGATGCCTACTAGCGGCGATTTAGTCTGAGCGACTATGGTAGCTAAGACCGAGCAACCATGCGAATATGCGAGTTCGGATGGAAAGACGAGGTGCAAGTGGAAATGAAGGTGAACAAGGCGAAAGAAGCAGAGGTTCCCCCGAAAAGACGCGCAGCCGGTGGACCCCGGCCCGGCCAATTTTCCGAGCAAGCGAGCTATAATCCTATCATGATTGGCTGCCGTTGGGGCCAGCGAAGAATCGCGTGATCCACAGTGGAGATTTTCGGCCACGCAAAATTCCATTTCCGGCAAGTTCCCATTCAGGTAAGTTCAATGGACTGGATTGAGAAGGGGGGGAAATTGAGAGGAAAGATACAGAGAAGCGGCAAAAAAAAAAAAAAAAAGAAAAAAAAAAAAAAAAGGAGTCAAGCCAACAGAGCAGAAACTAAAGAGAATGAGGACATGATTGTCATCGTTGAGAAAACCTTTTTGGCGCAATTGCTCTTTTGCGCGCGATAGAATAGAATGAACCATCATCATCATGTAGTTGCGCTGACTCGTTTTCAACGTAAGGCTGTAAGATTATCAGAAACCAAAGTGACAGGTCCCAAGGCAACGCCAGTTTCACCATCCGAGCCAGGTCACCTTCCTCGTCTCGGGTGGTTAGTATCGTCGTCTCTGACATGAAGAGCGAGCACTAAAGGGGGAATTGAAAGGGGGTCAGTGTCAAGCTCTTAGGCCAATCACCACTCGTTTGCCAGGCAGCAATCAGCTCGGCCAAAACGGCGGACTGACAGGCTCCCATCAGGCTGACTTCAAATGTTGAACCTGGGTTTTCCGGTGTCGAAGGTCTTCTTCTTATATATTCGTTTGTCCGACCCTCCTCTCGAGGGCAGAGAATTTGAATGTTATCTTGGCAATACGACAATTATGGAGCAACGGTCCAATCTCCAAGCGAAGGGGGTAAATAGTCTTCCAGGATTCATCCTCTCGCCTGAGGCACCACAACAGTGGGGGATTACGAACTACCTATCTCCGACTAGTTAGTCGTAGTACGTAGTTGCCAAGTTGGTAACTGAGTCGCAACGTTCCCAGCGTTCGACTGGCTGGCTCCACACACGGGCGGATCACCCTTGGGCGTGGCGCTCCGTGGCCGTCCATGTCTCACGCATATTCGGACATTTGACAGTTAGCACCGCGCATTCACAACCAGGTTTCTAAGATAGGTAGGTTTAAGAGCACAACAATTGACTATCGTAGGCTCCAAAAATAAGAGAGAATTGTTTGTTCAGTATTCCACTGCTATTTTTGGTGTGGATGTCTCAATTTATCCACTCAGTATGGCTGTTCCGCAGGGATGGCGGATATATATATTGCCTCCAATGGGTGTTCACCACCATCATGAAGACGAATGACTCGACTCAATTCTTGATGGATGATTTGCCGACGAGAATGGAGAAATGCAAAGCCACAAGGGTAGAACTAGGGACTCAGGGCGATATTCTTGGTAGTAATCGGTATGGAGTGCTCGGTACTATTTTAGTCGAAATCTATTTATACTATCAACCCTGTAAATAGTTCCTGAAGGAGGTGGATAAGACGAAGAAGAGAAAAGTGAATAAATAGCCGTGTTGCCTGACCAAGCCACTATTATGTTGAACCGTACGGAAAATCATGCATGCAAAAGGTATACAGGACATCCTATGAGAGACGAGATAGCAGCAGTAGTATTGCTCATTGCCAGCTGTGAAGCCAAGCTTTGCACACAAGCAATCTCAGACGTGGCTTGGCCGAACCCAAATGTCAGATGTGGTGGAATGTCGGCAGCCATTGACGTTGGTTTCCGGAAGCCCTTTTGTGTCGGAAATTATTTTTCGAAGACTCCTGGGTGGCATTGGAAAAGCATACTGCTTCGTAGATAGTGACGGCCATAGCTGAAGAGCTGAAACGGATATGATGATTTGCATCGGATTGTTTCTGCATGGAAGCTTGAGCGGGGGGAGGATTTACCGATTCGCGGTCTTGGCTTGCTGAATCAGCGGGATCTCGGTCCGAGTCCGGCCAGAGCCACTAGCTCCACCTCCACGTGATCTCAGTAATTGCTTATCTCTCTCGTCCAGGCAGCAACATTTTCAAGAGCTGTGGCCTCAGGCGTCTACAGCAGTCGGCATCCCGTTCGTTCCTTCCGCATCGGTCGCACCTGCCTTTTCTGGACTTGGTCGTCTGTCTTGGATGCCAGTTTCAATACTATCATGGTGGCATCTCTCTCAGCTACTAGTCACCCGGAATGCATGTTGAAATTGTCTGCGATCAGCGCATCTCTACATATATTTACTTGCTAGAAGGAAGCTAGAAACGATATACGACAGGGCATTTGATAAGGTTTCAACACTGCACTAACTACTTGTGACCCAAACGAGAACCATCGCTAACTATACACAAGTCCAGGAGTTAGGATCGGTGTAGTTTCCCGGCCCCGTGTGAACGTTATGCTTCGGATATCGGCAGTGCTTGCGCATGTACTCAATAGATCCGTTCGCATCGAGCTTGTTGCCCGGCATATACTCTGGCGCCTTCCCGTTTTCCACCCAGTCCACCATCGTGCGCAGCAGGTTGACTTGGGGCGCCTTGGAGGTGTACGTGCCATATCCTTGGCCGATATACGATGCTCCCGTGCCATCGCCGCAGTGGCCCATGCCAGAGATCTGGAAGAACCGGTAGAACTCATCTAGCTCGGACGGCGCGGCATTCAGCGCATTCGCTACCCGCCGGTAGTAGAATTTGCTGTCCGTGGAGCTGATGATGGGATCCTGCGTGCCATGGTAGGACAGCAGCTTGCCTCCCCGGTCCCGGAAGGCCGTGATGTTGGGATCAAACGCCTGGATATTGAACGGATTCTGCTCCAGGGCCAGCTTGGCACTCTCCAATGTCCATTGGCTGGAGTTCCAGTTGGTGTCGTTGTAGACCACATATTTGTACCATTCCTCGGTCCGGCTGTACATCGACCCCGTGAAGTAAAGGTAAGCCGCGTCGGCCTCACCCCCATAGTTCAGGCGCGGGTAGTACACGGTCCCGTCGGGGCCATAGAAGTCACTCAAGGCCCGGTTGACCTTCGCTGCCTGCGCTCCCGTGATACAAGAGGTGCTGTTGGTAGTCCCGTCGCAAATCAACCGCTCGATGACCGGAGCGCAGAAGTCAGGGTCTTCGATGATCCCATCCAAAGCCCCATCGACCGGGTCGCACTGACGAACAATCTCCTGGTGGATTACGGACCACAGATCTGAAGAGATGAAGTCTGGATCATCGGCTAACCCCGTCGCCTTCCACAAGAAGGCGCCCCAGGAGATCAGGTTGATGAAGTTCATTGCCGCGGAGCCCGCGATCACTCCGTCATAATCGTCGGGGAACCGTTGGACCTGTTGGTAACCTTGGCGGCCACCGGTGGAGCAACCCAGGTAGTAGGAGTAGTTGTACCCCTCATCATAAAACAATTGAGTCAGTTGCTTACCCACCACGGTACCTTCGTGCACTGAGCGATATGCAAAGTCGGCCAAAACCTCCGAGTTGTTGAGAAAGTATTTGGCCGTATCCCCGTCATGTCCAGCGTTGGTGCCCACGGTGGCGAAACCGAAGTTGGCTGCAAAGTTGAGGTCCGTTTCTTGGACACCTAATATGGAAATCAGCAAATTCCTTCATAAAGTGTGCGATCTACGGGGAGACCACAGCCCAAAAATTGGGCGCGACACTCACATCCGGCTAGACCTCCATTCCCCGTGCTCACGAAGCGACCGGTATAATTTCGTGGCAGCCAGGCTTCAGCCCAGAGATGGCTGCGATCCGACGTGGAGATGTTCATGGTCACCCGGCACAGGTCAACACTGGCTTGCACCGATGCTTTACACGCGGAGGCGACCTCCGCTTGGGAGATGTTCTGCCCCGCAGCAACATATGCGACCGATCTGACGGTGACATTGGCGATGTCGATCTTGTTCTGAAAATCATTGCAACGTGACTGGAAGGAGTCGTTCGCAGCGAGGGCTGCTCCAGGCAATGCCAGGGATAGGAGACTAGCTACTTTCATTCTGCAAGCTCAGAGTGGAAGCGACACAATGAGAAGGGAAGATGGGACGCTCCTGTGCAGAACACGAGAAACGGAGTCACAGGGAGGTTCCTCTTCTTATAGGTAGTGATCATCAGGGCGGTTCCATATTTTTGCTTCTTGCAAGACACATTGCGGAATGTGATGGACTAGTGACCAGCCTCGACATCATCTTCGGAGACATTGTGACCATGTTTGCTTTTCCCCGCGTTTTGGAACGGCCTGAACGTCGGTGATTCGACTACAACCCACAATCATCGACTCCACATAATACTGATCTGGGGAGCGAGTGATGCGGAAATGTATTGCAATTGTCAGTGGCTACCCCGGAAAAGCCAGTGAGAGAAGCCAGGAGTCCCTGGGAAAGAAAGTTTCGATAGACCGGCAGAAGATCACGGCAGGTGAGAAGCGGGCCGGGCCATGGAGCCTCGGTATCCTCCTAGCCCTGTACCATACCTGGTGCATACATCGGCGGATTGTATGGGCGACAGTGAGCTGTCGGTTCATACGGGGTGCCGTGTATAAGCTTTTCGTCGGGCAGCTGATCCTTCTGCGGACCTGCGCTTTGTGGACGAACGTCCAGGCTACTGCTATCGGTGTATACCCTCGACTTCTCGTTTCAAGTCTTCCTTTTAGTTAGACAATTCCTGTTATTCGCATACCCTCCTGTTCCAGTAGATCTGTTCTCAGTAATTGCTCATTATGGGATATGAAGAGGCCCACGAACCCATGTTGAAGCAGAACAAGGGGGAGGGAAAATACCCCGGTCGGTAGTTGTTACTCCGCACTGAACCCTTGCGTCTCCACTTCAATTAAGAACTGACCGGGGTTGGCACGCTATGATTGGGATGCCAAATTGCCAATGTTATGGAGGAAGGCAAAAATGAGGAGAGCAGGAAGCACAACCCGTGTTAATACCCCGCAGTGGGTCATAGATCATCAGCGATCGGCATGGGGGAGAAGACAATTAATTAATTCTGAAGGATGGAGGTCTGCAAGCATGGACGGAGTAGGAGAGGTAGACGATGGAAGGTGGAATGAGTATTCTGTTGCCTGATGCTGGGAATGAGGGCTTTTCAATATCCTCTGAGAGCCTGCATGCAGGAACATAGCTGGCCTGTATGCCTGAGGAAATAATATGATCATGCCTCAGGCGACTCTCATGTGACTCGTTCAAGACAGGGCACAAAGGGAAGCAAGGGATACAACGTAAATGTTTTCATTCTAAAGATCTTTCTTTATATGAGCAATGACTCCAACCACTGTACACTGTCTGCTTCAAGCCCC